GAACTTAAAAGGCGACAGAAAACTTTGCTGGGTGTGCACCCACCGCCCCAAATTACCAGACCTGAGACAACACTGGAACCTGAGGTGGTGATCCAGATCCTTTGACTCCCTTTTTCTCTTTTCCTTTTATTTCCTTTCTGTTCTTTCTTACAGGCTTATCAATGAGAGGCCACATTGTTTACTATCGTTTTCCAAGTTTATGTTGTTTCTACCACAGGTCAAACATGTTGAGTGGTCTTTTGGTGTCGTTTCACCTTAATTTAACCCAAGGGGATCACAAGAACCTTTACGGCTCCCTGGGCTCCCAGTTTGGGTTGTAACAGTCTGGAACAACAGAGCTTGTTTTGCATTTTCGTCTGAAATACGTCATCTTTTGGACAGAATAGGAAGTCTCTCTAAAGAGCTTTGGTAAAGGCTCTTTCCTGCTCCCGGCCCCCCGCACACACCGATCAGAGCAGGAGAGCACGCCAGAAAGGAGCCAACATTGCTGCTGCTCTCCTGAGCCTCTGCCAATGATCACAAGGGGAAGGGGCAGCACCCAGCAGTGAGGATCCCCCTGAAACTGCAGGATCCTGAGAAACAGCCTCATCCCGAACCGTGCCAACGGGCAACTCAACCAAAGCTGCCACCCCCACCCCATCCAGGGCCACCTCTCTCGTCGTGACCAGCACCCGCACCCGACAGGGGCACAGTGGCCAAGAGAAGAGGGGTCGTGGCAATAGAATCCACCCTTAAAATTTTTGATCCTCATCCCGGGGCCACCAGCACCTGGCTCCGTGCAGCATGCCGTGCCGGGGACACACGGGCTGGCTGCCCCAGCCTGTGAGCCGCCCTCCCTCCCCACCACCACTCTTCCATGGACCGTCTGTCCGGCAGCTAGCAGTCCCATCATCCAGAGCTGATCCTCTCCCCAATTTAGTTGTTCTCCCACCTTTGATCACAGCTTGGGACAGGCACCAACGCTTAACCACATATCCTGTCAACGAAGGGTTGTTTTTAATTTGCTCCTTGTGGGTATTTTTGCCCCCCCCTTTTTTTTTTTTTTTTTTTTTCTTTCTGCAAGAGGGTGAACAAACGTGCATGCAGACCTCTGGAGGCTTTAACCAACCCGCCTGTGCAGCATCTCCCCCAAAGCAAACCCTCCCAGGCATCCGCACCGATCGCTGTGTGAGGCTTGGCTTTCCACGCGGGCTGTGGGGTTTCCATGACTCAGCTCTGCTATTACCGGCTTAGATAAGGATTGAGATAAGACACCCAGCCTTGAACCTTGGCTTCGTCTTGCTCACTGGAACAACGTGCTAGGAACCGGCTTTCCCCTTTGCCCGCGGGTGCTTCTGATGGGATACCCTGCTGCTTTTTGGACATCAGCTCCTGCCACAAGGTCGCCGTGTCCTTTCGGGAGCCTCCGGCCATTCCCACGGGATCCTTGGCTCCATGTCCCGGCCCGGCAGCCTTGGTGCTCTGCCTGTCCCCAGGGACAAAGGGCTGGGTGGCTCCAGGAGCTGCCAGAAAACAGCGATGGGCTCCCGGGACTTCTTGGGTGGGGATGGGGAAGGCAGGAACTGGGGGAAAAAAACCAAACCAACCAACAGGGCTAATGATATCAGTGTTTACAAGGAAGATGGAGAGCACCAGATTTAAGTCTGGAAAGAGGAAGGGATTATCCTTGTAATCACCACTTGGTGCCTGCGCTGGTGTTGTCGTTGCTTTTTGGGACTAAACAATCTCCACTCTTCTGAACACCACATAGTCACAGCCCCGTGTTCTCATTTTGGGTGTCACCCATCTTCGCGACATCATTTTTAACCCCAGAGGGGATTTGCAACAGGGACAGCCTCCAGCCAGCCCTCCCTGAACAAGGGGTGCTTTTTTTTTTGGGCAACTTAGTTTCGCGGGTAGGAGCTGTTGGGTATCTGTTTTTTTTAGCCACCTCCTGCTCCCAGGCAGGTCCTTGGAAATATTTACCAGCAGAGGAAAGGGCTGTGCTGGTGGGCCCCTCCTCACAGGGCACACGGGTGCCCGGGAGCCATCGCTGCCCTCTTCCCTTTCCTCTCAGCTCCCAGGTCAGCGTGCCTGACCAAGCCAGAGGAAGCAGGAGGAGAAAGCTGGCCGCCGGCCACAGTCACACCGAGCAGGGCTACACGGCAGCAGGACACCACCAGTGGCACCACACCTCCTTGTCCTGGCTGCAACTGGGCTGTCCCCTCCCCGGGGGACCCTTTCGGTCCGAGCAAACCCATCCCTTGGGAGGTGCTCCACCGCTGCTCCTCAGCCCCGTGGCATGGGAGCGGAGACGGGGGCTGCGATCTAGAAATCACATTAAAGACTCCAGCAAGGAATCGTCCCTTCGTCTTCCCTTCCCAGGCAGAGGCTCCCTGTCTTCAGACATTTGATGTATTCAGGAACGTTGGAAAGCTACGTCTTTTCAGAGCAATTTTCTCCTGGCACCAGTCACTTCTGCCCTCCCATCTCCACTGCCTGTCTCTTGGAAGCAGAAAAGTTTAGATACAGATAAGTACTTTAAAATAACAAGCTCTTTGGAAAAAAAATAAACCAAAAAAAACCCCCAAACAAGCCTGCCTGCGCTGTACTTGCAGAGGTTTCCATGGGAAAGAAACTGCAGAGGGAGAGGAGAAGCAGACGAGGCTGTTAGGGCACGCTGCTTTCTGGAAAAGCGGATCGGAACCCTGGTTTCACCCCCATCACCTCCCTGGTCTGGAGTGCTCACCCCATCCGCTCCTTCACCTCTCCTGGGATGGGAAGGATCCAACCAAAGGGTCCCGACGTAGCACTGACGGAGGTGAGGAGACCTTGAAGCGAGTCTGGGGCGAGGCCCCGGGGGCACACACACACAATTTCGGGAGGCGATCGAAACCGTTCGCTTCAGAAATAAATCAAGGATCCCGTTTTAGCCAGGCAAGGACCGTGTGCTTGTTTAAACACCCCCTGCTAAAACAGCGAGGACTTCCAGAAATGTGTTTCAAGGACAAGTGTTTTGCTAGAAGAATTGAACAACATGCCTGTATCTAAACCCTCAACAATCCTTGACTCATGCAAGGATTTAGGGTAAAAGGGGACCAGGAAATTAGTTGTTTTTTTTTTTTTTTTTTTTATTATTATGATGATGATTTGACCCAATTTGGGAACAGCAGCATTGCTTAGAAGGAGCTGGAAATTAAGACTGTGACTTACAGGATTCCCACCTTCAGGATGCTTGCTTGGTGCCAAACCAAGAAGCGACGTGAACATCTAAGCCTCTCAAGAAGCATTTCCATGAGATACAGCGTGCATGAACTCCTTTGACTCACTCACAGCAGCAAAATGTTACTGAAACACAGGACGCAGGATGCCAGAGACACAGAAGAGCTTTCGCATCCCCTTGGCCAGACACCCTGCGGCCCTTGGAAGGCAAATACCTCCCCCCACGATCCCAGAAGCAGCGCAGCTTTCTTCAGGCAAACAGAGCAAAGCAAAACAAGTGCAAACGTTTGAACCGGACCCTTGCAGGCACTAGCGCACGCTGCCGCCCGCAGAGAGAGCAGGGAAACCCTGGGAGCTTTGTCTGAAGGTGGGAGAGGCGACGGACCCCGGCTCTGCTCACACCCCACAGCCGCGGGGAAAAGGAAGGGGAAGGAAGCAAGGTTGCTCGGTATAATTCGGGGCTTTCTTTTCTGTTTGTCTTTTCCCGCTTACAAAAGCTGGGGCTTTGCAGCTATTGTTGCTGTTCTACATAGCACCGGCCCCTCAGGAGTACAGGCCCACAATGACAAAAAAAACAGCACCACCAAATGACAGGAAGGAAAAGAATTAGCAGGGAAAGGAAAAGCAGCAGCAGGAACAAGCACTCATGCCCGAAATAAATGCGATGCCTGCTGCTAGGGGTGCAGGTAGTAAAGGTTACAGCACCTTCTCCTGGGGAGAAGTTGAGACTTTGGTGTGAAGTCCTGGCTTTTTGGCTTTATTGCTGCAGGCAGGCCTTGGCAGCATGGTTGCACGCAGGTGGGAGAGGAAGGCAGGCAATCAAACAGATCCTCAAGGGGCTAACAGGAACCCACCCCCCACACAGGGATATCAGAAGAGGAGTTTCTTTGAAATCCAAAGTTTCTTAGAAAACTAAGCTGAGGGGGAAAGCAGAGGCAGAGCTTCCTCCAGACACCTGGAAAGAGCCCGTCATCAGACGGGCAGACACTTGAAGTAGCAGCCTCAGCTGGGATTACCAGCTTACACTTCCAGGTTTTGAGGAAGACAAGCATTGAGACCAAGGGTTTGGCACCCTGGGTTTGTCTCACCCCCCTCTATCAGCTGTTCCCAAAGCCCCTGCTTTGCTCTGCCAAGGCAAATGTACAAAGGATTCAACAGGAAGCCTTCCCCGTGCTCGTGCTTCCGCTGCGTCAGCTCCCGCTGGACACTGCTGGACCAAGGGCAGCACACTTAAAAGCTCACAACTAGGCAAAACCAACCAGAAAACAACCGCCCCCCCCCAGGGGCAAACTGCCTCAAGTCTCCTACTGCTGCTTCCCAGCAAACATTTTAGTGTAGGAAAAACAGAGCCCATCCACTTCGCAGGCAGCGGCTGTAAGGATCCCACTGAATAGCCCCGAAGAGCCCGGAGGGAGGGAGCAGAGCATCCTACACAAACAACTGACTTTCTCTTGCTGCCTTACATCCCTGTCGCAGCGAAGGCACAAGCCTGGCACAGGCATCTCTGAGAAATCGTTTCGCTACCGCCGCCGGAGAACGCGTGGAGGTGAGTCTCTGGTGGGGATGCTTAAAGCAGCCGGGTCTTCACAGCAGAGATCGGAGGAGCACAGGTACCTCCCTGCCAGGTTACCAGGCCCACAGTTCAAATAAAGCAGCTACTGAGCTTCTGCTGGTTTGAGCAGCAGTTTCAACCCTTTTCAGCAGCTCACAGCTTAGATCACAGATGGGACCATTCCTTGTTAGTCCGACGACTTACAGCCGTCCCAGGGCAAGGGCTGCTGAAATACATAACCAGGGAGTTTTTGCCATTCCAACTCAAACATCTTTATTTCTGTGCTGTTAGCTTCACCCGTCCTCACAGAGGACAGAGTGCAGGAGGTAAGTGAACTTTTCCAGACAAGTTGTTGGGTTACATTTAGGGGCGACGAAGAAGAACCAAGGCCACGAGGAGCCACTCCCCTTATTTTTCAAAAGCCCACCATGAAACTCTGAGGAGTCTTTGATAAGCTGTTGCGACTTCAACTTTAAAACCAAGCATTAAACTTTTAGGACGAGAGGACTACTTGGTAGTTAGGAGTCCACAGGAGCCTTAAGAGACTTTTCCAACCACGTGTGGGGACCCAGAGAGGCTCCTCTGCCAGTCCACTCCCAGCAGCATTTGTACTCCTGCCCCAGAAACACAGACTCTGGGCTCAGTGGGGAATGGGAGGAAGGGCTGGGATTTAAAAAAAAAAAAAAACAAACAAAAAAAAAAAAAAACCCAAAACAAACTTGGAAGAGACTGACACAAAGGACATAAAAAGCAGGAGAAGCTATGAAAATATGTTGAGATGGTCAAGAAAAGTCACATCAAAATATATTTAAAAACCAGAAATTCCAATCTGCATGGAATTTAAGACGCCTTTCCCCACCTTTTTTTTTTTCCTGCTCAAGGAGTCTTTGTTGTTCCAGGACATGGAACATGATAGGCAGCACCAGTTATGTCCTGAAAAGGGTAGTATTTCCCCCAACTCGTCTGAGCATTTCCACCATTTACAAAGAACAAAACTGTATATACCTCAACAATTGCCCCACCCCCCCCTCTTTTCCACTCCACAGTGGGCAGGAGAAAAGACTGCAAACAAATCTGACTTTTCATTTTCAGTTAAGTCCAATTTTTCCACACATCAATATCCCTGCAATCCATTGTACACCTTCTGCACCGATCCTTGTTTCAGCAGCTGTTTGAGACCTGCAAGAGAAAGGAAAGCATTACTGCACAGCACAAACAGGAGGAGGACTCTGCATTTGTTGTTCCTGCTGCATTTGCAGGTCTGGCTCCTAGGCCCTCACAGCACCAGCTTTTCCAGGCTGAGCCCATGTATCTGAATAATGCAAACACTGGTACTCTAAAGAGCATCATTAAAATAAAATAAAAAAGGAAAAATCCCCCCCACCCAGTGGTGTGACAGCTTTGCTCCTGCTCCTTCAGCATTCTTACAGGACTTACAGAAACAGGACTGAGGTTAGTGATGCTGTAGCAGTGCTTTCATGCACTCTTGGGACCACACAAGGTTCGAGGGAGAAAGCCTCCTCTGCTACAAACTCAAAGCCCAGCTCACCACCTTCACAGCTCTGTAAGGGGGTAAAGCTGACACCCAGAGCTGCTTTGCTGTTGAAGCTGACAACAGTTTTGTCATCTTTAGTACAAATGCAACAACAAACTAGTTGCTGAGTATTTCCCGTGTCTAACTGATCTAGCTCATCTGCCCAGGCTCCCTCTACAGCCCAGAAGAAATCTGCTAGGGGCAAGTCCGGGAGGGCTCGAGTCCTTTCGGACTTTCCAGCTACAGAAACTCACACGAGTAACTAGAAAGCAAGAGTTTTCACACTGGTACGTGGTACCTGGGGACACTACTGGCCACTAGAAGTAGTCCCTGAAGGCAAGTAAGAGAAGCAAACTTGTTATCTGTGGGCTTAAGTATCCTACTGAAAGCCTGAAAATCTTAAGCTTTTTTTGAAACCTGCTGTTTCACAAAGGAGTCTAGATGACTTTTCAAATACCATCACCCCTCCCCTGAAAGCCCATTCATAAAACATTTCAAAGAACTGATTGCTCTGAGGTCCTGTCAGTATCAAATTCTTACCAGAGCAGGATAAGAGACAAGTGAGTCAGCCCTTAAAACCATAATAGCTCATCTACTGGGGTCAGCACGTTCAGGGAAAGACTGGCAGGTCTTCACTGCTTCTTAAAGGGCAAGTCCACACAAAACAGAGGAAGCACTGGCAAGAATGGATGTGTCACACTTTTTCCAGAGATAGTGGGCAGCAGGGACTCCCTCCCCTTTAAAAGTCAGCCTGGTCACACGCTGCCAGAACTCCCACTGCCCTGACCAGTGGGGCCCCTCAGGGCATGGCAGCATCTCTGCTCTGACCAGCACCACTGAGCCTGAGGAGCGGCTGTCAGGACCCAAAACAGAGAGGAAAACTCCCCATGCCACAGGTAACTTTCAAATAAAAAAAACAAAACAAACCAAACCCACAAAAATTAAGCTAGACTTCTGTAGTAATTCTGCTGTTGGATGTCCCCAAAACAGCATCAAGTCTTGCAACAAAGCAGACAAGCTTTGCACCCTCAACATGAGAGAAGACAGGATCGCAGCCCTGCCTCAGATCAGCTTGCTCTGCTGCTCCACTGAAGTCAGGGTGTCAGAGCGCGTACGTGTTTGTACAACAGGTCAGATTAGGCTGCCAATGCTGCCGTAGTTGTTAACTATCTGTAATTAAATCAACCAATTTACTCGTGCAGAAAACCCCCCCAACCTTTCAGGCATGCAAGTCATTCTCTTTTATCTGGATTGCGTGAAGAAGATGCCTCCCTGTAAACTCTGTCCTGCTGATCTAGCCTTAAATCATTCTGGATACAAATACCACTGTCCTTTAAAAGAGCAGCGATTTGATGCGCAAGGGTCACAGTAACTCTGTTAAAATACTGGAAAACTATCCTGGAAGTATTACCTGGAACTGAGATGGGTCTCTGCCAGGCAAGAACTACTCATGCTTCTTGCTTGCTGGCCAGAGAATCCTCAACTCTTCTACATTCAAAAACATCCTCAACAGCAGGGCAAAGCGAGCCCCGCGCTCCAGGAGCTGCTAATCATTAAGGATAGGTCATTCTCCAGGGGAGTGCCAGGCAAGTTCACTTCCCCCCGGCAGCCAAAGGAGGCTCAAAGCCATTTCCTGGCTGATGGGTAAGAGGATGTGCCTCCTGGACGTATAGTTCTTCGACAGGAAGGATATAGCAGGAGAAAGGTGTGCTCCAGTAACCCTGAAAAAAGTGGGATTAGTACCATTCCTGTACCTCGTTTCCTGCTAGCTAGCTCTAGGCAGCTGCCTGCTGCCCTGAAGGATACCCTCATTAGTGCACAGGATATTTCAACACATTGGATGTTCAGTCAGGAATCCTGATATTTGGGGCTACTGCACCTCAGGCATTTTTTACTAGGGCCAGCTTTGAGATTTTCCTGACACCACCAACAGATGACAGGTTACAACGCAACCTGCTGCTGTTCACTGAGCACTCCAGAGCTAAAGCACTGGATCCAAAGCTCCAAAACAGAGAGTAAACAAGTGTCAGTAGAGATAAACGAGAGATATGTCAAAGAGAAAGTCACCTCCAATAAATTCCCTGATGTCACACTGGCAGGAAAGCAAGCATGTTATTTCTCTGACTCTAAAGCTTAAATTGACCAGAGTGGTGCTCTCTGAGTCAGAGTATCTTCTGACCACCCCAGGAGCTGTACATATGGTTAGAAGATAAGAAACTAGGACCATCGCCAACAATAAGAAAAAAAAGGAATGTTTTGATTTCTGAAGCCTACAGTCTTCCTTTGAATGTGTACACTGAACTGCTGCCACACAACACGAACAGACCTATGCAGTGATTTAAGGAGTTTTATGAGGGGATGTTTGGAGATATTCGAGTACACAGAAATGCACCTGCCTGCCTACCCAGTCACCTTCCCCTGGGAAGCAGGGAATTGCTTTAGGAGGGAGTGAAGCACCCAAAGGCCCCACGCCCGCACACACTCATGGCCAGTACCATCACCAATCTGTTCCCAGGACATCCGTAAAGGTACGCAAGCAATTTTGACAAACAGGAAGGCTTCTGTCGCTGCTCCTTGCCCAGTCTCTTCTAAACTGCCAAGAGCAACAGCTGGAATAACCTCATGTCTGTTTGCGAGGTGCTGTCGCCTTACGAAGCTTAAAGGCAAGGCAGCAGAGCCTGGGATGAGACTTCACAAACCTCCTCAAACTTTGAAAACCTTCACTGCGCACCGCAGCCCTTGTCAGGCACAAACACTTGTGACAAGCAGGAAAGGACGGGGTCAAAATACAAACCAGGTGCAGCCAAAGCAGAGCCCTAACAGCCCAAACAGCTGCGGGGAGAGCCACAGGACAGCCAACCCTGGAGCTGCAGCTACCAACAGTGTGCTCAACACAGCAGGAAGAGCCATAGGGCTGAAAAAAGCCCACCCAGGGTTTGGCTTCCCTCTATAAACTTAAAGGGTGTAGGAAAGCCACTTATTTGCCTCATCCTACCAGGACAGCTGTCAGAATCAGCTCGGGCACCTTCAGAAGAAAAAAGTGTGATAGCCCTGGCCAGCAGGAAGAAGTTCTGGGAATGGGATTTTTCCTGAAGAGCTCTTACTGGTACGTGCCAGGAACTTCACTGCTCTGTAGCAGAGGATGGGGCCCTTGTTGCCCACTCTGATGTCCTGCGCAGAGCGGCAGAACCTACTGCAGAGGCTGCTGAAGCAAAGGGGAATTTCTGACTAGGAGTATTGTCTTTACCTTTGCTGTCAGTTTTAGGATTTCTACATGGATCCTCAAGTTTCCATTTGAGCACCGAAGCAGGTCTCTCATACGAAATATCTGCACTGCACCCTTCTTTCCTATATAGCCACAAAGCACTTAGGGAAGAAGATGTGGAAAGGAACAATCCCCTCCTGATGCTGCATGACACACTTTACCCTTGACAGTAGAGGGATTTTCACAGGTCTTGCCTCCAAGAAAGTAGAAGCAGGGGCTGGAAAACTGCTTGTGATCCCATTCCAGCAGAGCCAAAGCAGACAGAGGCTAAAGCCCGGTAAGTCTTTCAGCTCAGACAGATGGCCAGCTACAAAACAAAGCACCTGCAAACTTGCCAAGTGCTGCATCCCAGCAGTGGCACATCCCAACCTAATCTGGATCCCTACAACTGCAGCAGCCAAGCTCACTCGCTTCAAAGGGAAATCGAAGTTAATCACAGGGCATCAGCCAACTGTGTCATGTTCTAAAGGGGCAGAGGGAAAGGAGAGCCCCCTCCTGACCACTACAGGCTGCTGGGTCAGTTGTGCCAACTTCTTATCAGCTTTGGTGAGAGGTCTGTGCAGCCCACTGCTGTGGCGGCGCTTTAACACACGCACCTTCCCGCTGTTCAGCTGTCAGTTGCTCTTTGGGGAACTCCACGTCAAACGTTATTATTAGTGAGCCTTTGATATTATTGTTATCAAAATTTGGAAGACCTTCTCCTTTCTTCCACAGTTTGGCCCCGGGTTTTGTAATTTTATCCCGAGCAACGTGAACCTACAAACAAAAGAAATAATCAGAACATTACTAGTGTTCTGTGTGTGCACCCCAATACTCCAATGCCCTTTCCAACCCACTGAGAATTCTTCAAGTGATACTGATTCCTTAAGTCAGTGATATTCAGGAGGTCCAAGCAGTGTTAATGCCAGGACACATGCCAGAACTAACACCATCCATGACAGCACGTGCAGTAGCTGCTGTGACAGCCTGGAACTGAGACCCACACTGTGCACCCCTTGTACAGAGCCTGTTTTGGCTCCGTGGGAATTGGTCTGGAAGGCTCTAGCAGAGGGGAAACTGCATAGAGCCCCCAGCTGCACGGTCCCAGAGCAAGCCAAGCCTCAGCACAGGAGACCTGCAGTTAAACTTGGTTTACACGCAGCAAGAAGGCAAACCATTGCCTCACCTTGTGCCCATCCAAGTGAGCGATATCCATTTCAAAGCCTGTAAGTGCCTCGACCAGCGAGATTGTCACGTTTGTATACAAGTCATCTCCTCTTCTTTCAAAGACTGGGTGCCTGTGGAAATAAAGGACACTGGAATTTTTCTTCTCCCTCATAGGGGAAATAGGTCCTCTAGCTTCCTCCCCTCTATGTGTGAATTTGGAGAATTCACAAAGTGGAGAGGAAGTGAAGAATGAATGAAATTTAGCTTCATTTTCCTGTTTGAGGTATGTACTACTAAATAACCTTTCTATTTCTAGGGCAATGAGTGGTGAGGCGTGTCACGAAGTTGTGACTCATGCAACAGTTTTCTTAGTAGTGCTTTTCCTTACAATAGGAAGATAGAATATTTATGGAAAAAGGACCTATTTCATGTGATTCACACAGGAGCTAGTAAAGCATGCCAGAATTCAAGCCAAGCGAAATAAAAGTGGAATTATCACAGCATCTTAACAGTAGTGAGTCCAACTACTCTGGCATCATCAGGGTTGAACATCCTGCACAGCCCAGAGCAAGCCCTGGCTGCATCAACTCTGCTGAAGGGCAAGCTACATGCTAGCCAAGTGGGCAACACTGCCCAGAAAACTGCTTGCAAACTCCCTTTACTGTAATCAGGAAGAGTTGGTCTAACTAGGCCAGTTACTTACTTAAGAACTTTTATTCGGAAACGCAAATCACCTGGCTCCCCATCCACATGGGGCTCACCTGTGAAAAAGAAAGAAAAGCTCTGTTTAAAGGAGCTAGTTAGTAAAAGTTGAAGAAACAAGCACCATATGAAAGACAATTGATTTGCAGCTCACGTGTTACAGTATAAAACCAACAAGTTGATCTTCACATGACTAAAACCCTGCTTATTAAAGAGCTCATGACTTTCTGAGTATTGCCTCAATGAGCTCATAGCTCTCTGCTGTTCTGAAAGACTTGCCTGTGTGTTAACGATGTCCATTACTTGTTGAAAGATTTAATCTCCTTGGGAAGAGGGGATTCCCTCACATAATCAAGCCTGGAACAGATGCTTCTACTCAAAGGTTACCCAAAACATCAGATCTAGACCTTTTTGTGTCTGTGTGTGCCCCCAGTACAAGCAAAGGGAGTGGAACTCAGTGTTATCCAGACTTAGTAAATAGAATGTTCCTGGATTTCAGTAGCACGCAGAGGGACACAGCACCTCAAACCACATGCGCTGATCAGTTACCCAACCCGGGGTTTGAACACTGGTCACTGCCACAGAGACCAGCCCTGCATCACGCAAAAGGAGTCAGTGAAAGCTGAGGAGCAGGGCAGTGCCCATACACATACCTTCCCCGATGAAGGGATACTCCATGCCATCCCTCACACCTGGCTCTATCTCCACTTCTAGCGTCCGCTCCTCATTCACAAGCCTGCCAACGGGAAGAGCAAGCAAGCACTAAGTTTTCAACAATACATGCTAGCTCCTACTTATGTTACTGGGATAATGAGAACACCCACACATATTAACACATACTTTCTCATTGCCCACATCTAAAACTGCCTTTGTTGTGTGCTGATACTCATCTAGTAGAGAAAGCAAAGTTAAGCTCCTAAATACACAGTCAGCATCTGCATACGTGACTACAACACAGTTTTCCATGCCCAGCTGTTCCCAGCTGGAAACTGGGCTTCTCTGGCTTTGTTCAGATTTAGCTGGGGGACTTCCAGTGTAGTATGACTGATTGTTAAAGGAATAAGAGGCTGAAAGAGCAAATCGGGGAGCTCTGTATTTAATAGCATTGGCTGTCTCTACTGTAAAAATAAAGACTGGCTCCATGAAAAGGAGAAAATTGTGCCAAGTTTTTCAAAATTCCCCAGGTCTTACTGGTAGTACAAGCATTTCCCTCCATCTAGTGGTAGGCTTTGAATAAACACCCACAGAGCAGTAAAGAGCATGAAACTCACTTGACGTTTGGACATTCATCACAAACAACTTCTTGAGTCATTTGGAAACGTCCAGGACCCAGCTGGGTGGTCCTCATCTCCTGCCGGCAATTGCATTTCCGCTTGCCAGGTGCCTGTCTTGCCACTGGCTTGTTCCTGACAACCTGCATGGAAGAGGAAAAGCTTGATACCAACACACAGGCCAGCACTCCTGGGTCTCCACAAGGGTCTGGATTTCTCTAAGCAGCCTGAACGGAGCTTGTTTTTGTGTGCTGCTTCCGCAGCAGCTCCAAATGGTCACAGCAAAACATCCTGACAAGTTTTCACCTTGCACCTCTTGCTGATCACACATTAAATACCAGAGAAGCTCTCTGACACCACTATTACCACTTCCTTTCTTCTTCCTGCACACCTTTCTAAATAGAAAAGGTAACGCTAGGATGAAAACACCTCACGCTTTGGTTATGATAGCTTCTTTATCCCACACAATGGGCAAAATTATTTGGAGTTCCTCATTTATTCAGACACACCACACAAACTCAATTGATATGACTTCTAACATGTGGAAGAACAGGGATTGCCAGCACCAAAAATGTAGCTTGCTTGAAAAAAAAAAAAACTTAAAAGGCCACCAAAACATTTGCCAAGTATGAAGTATGTAATCCAGAAACTTGCAGTGACATGTTTGGTCATATAAAGAGGCTATGAAAAGTCTTCAACATGGTTTTGCAAGAATCACAAAATGAGTTTGAGGCTTATGAATAGGCCTTCAAATACCACTAAGTTCTAGAGAGAGACCACTTACATTTTTTCCAACTAGGTTGCTGCGATAAAAAAAAAAGCTACAGCTAGTCACCCACAGCCTGTAAAGAAGCTGTTATCACAAGAAGCATCCCTTTATAGAGAAATTGCCAGATGGCAAAGAAGAAATGTGTTGTTTCTTCAGTTAACTACCAGCAAATAGCATCACAACATCTTCCACTGTCACTGCCAGATATTGAGAAAAAGAGCATCTATTTTATTTCTATTCTTTGGGAGAAGATGATATTCTGAGCAGTGGCCAGGCCAGTCAGCTCAAACCTGAGAACACACCGGAGAGACCAACAGGACAGCAGTCAAACTTACTTCTACAAAGTTTCCTGAATACACTTCCTCCAGTGTAACCTCCAGGTCCACGATGATGTCGCTTCCTCGGGGAATGTTCCTGTCTTGTTGGCGAGGGTTACCTCCAAACATGAATCCAAAGTCCCCAAAGAAGCTGGAATGAAGCACATCAAATTAGTTCAGGAAGGAATTCTGATCAAATGAGGCTCTGATGAAGAGAGCCACCCAAGGCAACAGCAATGTGCTGCTTGGCAAATGCTTCCAGCCTCCTAGAGAACAGCTTGCTCACAGTACAAAAGCACCACAGTAAATCCAGATACCTCTTTTTGCTCCCCCAGGATGCAAACTAATGCCTTCAAACAAAGTGGGTGCTTTGGAAGAGTTTTCTGTATTAAAGAAAACAGGTTTTGAAGCAGGAGTTGAATGCTAACACCTCAAAATCTGACCACTAACTAAGGGAATTCCTCTCTGTACTGCACTGCTGCTCAGCTACCATCACCACAAGGTGCAAACTCTGAGTAGCCCTCCATCTCTGCCACTGCAAGTCAATGCCAGCAGGTTGGTTTTCAGTAATTTGAGGACAAGGGGGATGAGAAAAAGCTACCCAGCAAGCTTGTGTCTTTTTCCTCAAAACAGACCAGCAGATGGTGTGAGTTCTCATCCAGAAGGATGACATGAGACAAGCAACTTCAGGAACTGCTTTTGTAAATTTGTGCCTAGCAGAACCAAAGGAGCCTTAAACAAACAGAAAATTTGAGCAACGTGCAAGTGCCTTCAGATTTTAATGATCCAAATTCCACAGTTGCTCTGAAATGTAGTGTCAAGTCACTACAGCATTACTTCGCAAAAGAAAAGTGACCCCCAAAGCACACGCGTGATCCATGACAACTGGTTAAACAGCAGTCACACACCACGTAACACAAGAGAGTTTGTACGTGTTTAACGCAGCTGCAGCACCTTAACAAATCACCCACACTGGCAACACAGCTTGCCACGTGAGCAAGAGCTGCCCACGTGGGAAGACACCGTGGGTTCCTACTCACTGCTCTCGAAGTAAGGACTGATGCAAGACAGACAACTGAAAACAGCACATGGGATATCCACTGTAAACGTACTACTTCAAATTATCAACTGTCACTTCAGATCAGCACCTCTGGACTGGGTAAAAGACCTTAACATACAATTTACCCACGTCAAATGTGTGTATGAGCATCACAAGATCAGAGCAGCAACTGTAGAATAGCCTGAAGTGGCAAAGTCTCCTTACTGTGAGAAGATGTCTCCATGGGAGCTCTGGTGCCCATCCTTCAATCCCTCCTCGCCATATGCATCATACTGCTTCCTCTTCTCCTCATCCGACAGCACCTGGCAAAGGGAGGCAAGCAGACAAGACATTCACCCACAGCTGAGCTGAGTTATTTAAACAAGGCTCTGAGAAGCAAACCAGGACTCTTCACCAAGGGTCAAGCAGCAATGCTTTGCATTACAGAAACACTGGCTAGAACTTGTTTGCTGCCCCGGACTAGGGAAGTTAAATATTTATCAGTTAAATCCATAAAAAGTACAGTTAGTTTATTAAAACAGCTGAAGCAACACAGAAAATGCAAACAATACTGAGTTTATCTTAAGGATTAAAAAAAAAAATTAATCAGAAGGAATGATTCAAATCAGTTCCTACAAAGCAAGTCACACTGACCAAAAAAAAAAAAAAAAAAAAAAAAAAAAAAAATCACATAATGCCACCCATTTCTCAATTTGTTCCTTGAGCATGCAGAATATGTATTTCTCTGACTGCTATTTTGTAACAATTAGCAATGATGGCAAATTTGCCCACCAAGCCAAACATGTTAACTCTGGACCAGTTTGAATGCTGGCCATTCCTAAGGGCAGCAAAAGTTAGACGTAACTTCAGTACTGAGGCAGAACAACACATGCCAACACACACGACTTCCAAGACTGTAAAGCTTCAGTTTTATTTCCCAAGTATTGATCTTTGCTCTTTCCTCCCCCAGAGGCCCAGAAGTTTCTAGTCATACTTAGTGCTCCTTCTCTTTCTTCCCCCCTGCTGATCATATCTGGGAAGGTTAAAATTGCCAGGTTAGCTTTCACATGGTCAGAGAGAAATGGAAACAGGTGGAGAAGCTGGCTAAATGATGAAAACCAACCTGAAATTGCAACCAATGATAAATGCTAGCAACAAGGGAAAAAAAAACCTTAACAGTGACTTTACTAGCTTCATCTAGTAGGTAAGAGCTCAATTCTCCCTTTGTCATTTCAGATTTTGCATTAAGACTTATATTCCCTAAAACTAGGCTAAGTTTTCCATTTTGTGATCTGCTGGTGGCAGAACAAAATTCTTCTGGTAAAATACTGCACAGTACTGACAATTCCACAAGCAGGTAGTGTCATGGTATTGTCATGAAAGGAATGAAGAACAGAAAAATATTTGCCTTTCCCTTCACATTTTCTTTCTTTTTGCAGGCTGTAAGAGAACATGACTCCAAGAACACAATTTCGAGTTCCTGTTTGTTATGCTAGGTTGCCTCAAAAGCAAAGCACCAGCAGAGTATAAGCTTAGGAAAAAAAAACCTGTGGAAACTCCACCCCCAAACCATCCTCAGACTAATGACTGTACATAGAGAAGCCTCGGTTGGCTCACATGGGATCTGTCTGGGTTCTAACTGAAACAGCTGTGTTCAGACCACACAGCTGCAGGGTGGAAATCACTTAGGCTATGAAAATGAATGAGACAGCACAGTTTAATTATCCTACTTTCCCCACAATTTTTTGGAAGACTTTACTACCCATAGTCAGCTAGCCAAACCCTGAGTAGTGGTACTAATAACAGGCTGTTACTTTATGGCAACAAGCATCCTGGTTTAGGTTATAAGGGAAACATAATTCTAGCTCCCTCTAGAAACAAATTGACACCCTGCATCTCGTAGCTAATTTAGCAGAAGGATTTGCAATCTGAACATCTGCAATCTGTACTAGCTCAACAAAGAGAGAAAGACCTTGCAGGACATCAAAATGCTACTTCTTCCAAACCTGTTTTAAAAAAACCCACGTATGTCAAGACTGGATTTCAATATTCTGATGCATCTCGCTTCAGCAAGAGGCACACAAATGAAGGCTCTGAAGGGAGGTTTCATAGTTTATTATTCAGCAGCACCAAGGGAGCACGTTGCATTCTTATGGTCTGTGTCAGCACTAGACCTGCACACTACGTTGAACGAGGACACCGCTGTGCTTCAGTAAAACCCTGGTCAGGGGGAGGCAGACTCAGTCACTGCTCATGGAAGTTAATATTCAGCTACTTCTGCCACCACATCCCCTGCTGATTTGATTTTATAACCATTTTCTCCCCAATGTTTTTAAAAGAAAGAGTACTCTCAGGTGTTGCTATGGCAAAGACTTAAATAAATTGGGACTTGGGGAAGAGGAAGAGAAATGCTTCCTGTGTGTAAAGCACTGTCAAATGTGACAAGATCCCAACTCACAGAAACGACATCAAGCTCACAGCTTTGAAGTAAACCGTATGCATTGATCTTCAGATGCTGCAAATGACGGGTAACATACTTTTTTCCAGGAAAAAATTCTTTACGTTCACCAATTTCCTTGTGATAGTTCACCCGATTTATTTAAGAACAGTTAAGTCTGAAGTAAAAAGAGGTCCCAGCTCTGGTACAAAACTAAAGTTAATGCATTCCTCTTTGCTCAGAAAGAAAACACGTTCAAGCTGTTTCACTTCCTCATGTATTTGCATATCTGAAAAGCAGAGCAGCATCAGGGATGGAAGCTGAAGCCACGCTACAGCTGCGGGCTGAGCAGCACCAGTCTGCAGTGGGAACACAAACCCTCTCCTCCTGAGGCTTGCCTCCTCAAAGAGGACACAAACCTCCCATGCAAACAGCCCAGCAGTACAGGCAAGCTCCTGGTGGAACCGCTGCTGCAAATTCTTGCTGGTCAACACATTTTTCCTCAGGGGTCCTCTGCTCCCTGGGGGATGGCAGGAGCAGATGGAAACCAACAGTGACAGAAGGGAGAGCAAAAGGACAGAAAACGTGGAAGAAACAGCTCATACCACCCTGCCTAAATTGTGTTAATGTGTGTATGTAGCATGGCAGAGAAAGTAGGCTTTGACTTAGAACATTTGGCTAATAAAATAATCTGTATGTGATTTATGTAACGCACCGTGCTATTAGTGTCAAGTATTATTTGTACGCTACTATATTATAATGAAAACAACAGGAATCCTCATGCATGTGACCCACAAGTGTTTTTCCCAATGTAACAACTATTAAAAGGCAAGCTGAGCACCTTTTGTCTCCTCTCAGCTCAGACTCACTGACATCCAGGCCCTGTACAGGCACACACTTGTTCCTGCGTCAATACTTATAGATGATACAACTCTTTTCCTCAAAGAACTATTAATAAATGCCAAATAACTTTATCTCTCTGCCTTCGCTTCCTCCTCTTTAAGTGAGCTAAGGTCTTTTAGTGTCCTCTGACAGAAGGAGCTCTCTAGTCAGCCTGGCAGCGTCTCTCCTTTTGTTTTTTATTTGGTAGAATGTCTGAATTCCAATATAGTGGCAGGGGGGAGGACAGATGGCACCTGCACCTTAGAGAAGGGCATTTACAATCTCTAGCAGCCCTCCTCTCCCATTGCCCTCAATGTTGTAGGAGGAAACCTCATGAGACTGCTCCTTGGCCAAGCTCACCTTCACGCTCCCAGAATTTTTTTATTTTTACCACGAGCCCCGTCCACCCTGAGAAGCGCCAGGAGGACTCGAGGTTCTCCGAGTTCCTTACAACCGGGTGTGGAACTTCCCCTCCCCTCTCCTTCCCCCACGGCCACCCCAGGCCTCGCTACACCATCTCCCTCCACCCCACACCCACGGAGAAGCGCGGGGCCGGGGGAAACCCGCGGCCCCCCCTCACCTCATAGGCAGCCCCCAGGTCCTGGAACTTCTCTTGTGCCCGAGGGTCGTCGGGGTTCCTGTCGGGGTGGAGCTGCAGCGCCAGTTTCCGGTAGGCCTTTTTGATGTCCTTGATGGAGGCGCCGCGGGACACCCCGAGGATTTTGTAGAAATCCCTCCTGCCCGGGGAAGAGAGAGGGGAGGTGAGCGGGGAGCGGCGGAGCAGGCCCGGCGCTGAGGGGAAAGTGGGGGGGGGGTGTGTGAGGGATGCGTGTCCCAGGCCCGGCGCGGCGCGCTCACCCGGCGGCGGCCTCCCCGCAGAGGCAGAGCAGCAGCAGGCAGAGGCGGCCGAGCCACCCGGGGGCCATGGCGGGGCGGGACGGAGGGAGCGGCGCTCTCCGGGGGGATCCGCAGCGCCGCAGCCGCCCGCCCCGGCCCGGCCACCATTAGACGTGAAGCGGAGCTCCGGCTGAAACGGCCTTTAGCCCCGCCCCGCCCCGCGCGCGGCCAATGGCAGCGCAGCGCGGCGGCGCGCCCAGCCTATCGGCTGCGCACACTTCACCCGCCGGCTCGGCGGCGCGGGGCCAATCGCCTGCCAGGGCGTCGGCGCCCTGAGCCCACCGGGCCAATCACGGCTCGGCGCAGCCCCGCCCCTACCGCCGCGCCCGGGGAAAGCGGCCAATCGCAAGCCGGCTCCGGCTCCTGAGGCGGAGTCCTCCCGGCTGTGAGAGAAGGGCCCTCTCGTTGGTCGGCGCGGGTGCCGCTCTGCGCGGCGCCTCGGCGGTTCCCGGAAGCGGGCGGCGGTCGCCATGGCGGCGGCGGGCCCGGTGCGGCTGTGGGCCAAGACGGAGCCGTTCCTGGTGGGGGCCCTGCCCGCCCCGCCGCCCGCCCGCCTCTCCCCCTACTACTTGCGGAAGGTGGCGGCGTATGCCCGGGCGCGGGCGGCCGAGGGCTGCTTCCCGCGGCTGCAGTGGCCCCGGTGGCGGCACATCGCTTGCGGGAAGCTGCAGCTGGGCCGCGGCCTGGCCTGGCTTTACTTCGAGCTCTTCCACAGCCTCCTCCGGCGGGACCCGCCGCGCCGCCTCGAGTGGGCCGAGGCCGAGGCGGCCTGCGCCAGCGCCGACGAGCTGGAGCAGGAGCGGAGCAAGGCAGGAGCTGCGTCCCGAGCCGGGCGGGCGTGGGGAGGGGCGGGGGGAGCCCACCCTAACGCCTCTTTTTCTCCCCTCTCGGCCAGCTGTCGGTAGACACTCTGCAGTTCCTGCTGTTCCTGTACGTCCAACAGGTGAACAAGGTTTCCCTGCGCAGGTCTCTGATCGGGGAGGAATGGCCCAGCCCCCGGACCAAGTCCCCCGGCCTGACTGGAAAATCTGCCGGTGAAAATAAGGTATTTGTGGCTGTGGGATTCGCCTCGTGGGGCTGGGTGGGAAACTGCCTTGAGAACTGGCCGCTTCATCCCTGGCACAGCGTGATCCTGCCTGGAGTAAAGACCAAGCAAATGGGCAATAATGAAGTGAAGCGGGTGTGTTCTTTGCAGTTTTGCCAGCAAAAGTTCTCCACGGGAATTTCTGAGAGTCTGAGACCAACTGCAAAAGTTCTCTCAGAGTCTTAGCAGTTCTTTTAAGAAGCAGCTGCCTCTTTGCTTCTCCTGTTAGTTAAACAAGAAGCTTTTCTTAGGTTGAGGCTGTTTTCCCTTGACCCACTCTAAAGTATTGGGATCCCAGGATGTTCCCTAGCATGAAGTTACATCTCTGAGCAGAGAGCTGGCTGGTCAGCTGTAGATCAATAAAATACTATCAAGTATTTTAAAAGAAGTGAGTTGGAAGTCTTGGGTGCAGCCTGTGGGCAGCTCTGTGCTTGAGAGTGAATGACAGATTGGCAACACCACCGTAAAGGCCAGCTGCAAACCTCAGTGGGTTTCTGGCATGCCTGGGATGCTGTGAGCTCCGTGGGCTAGCGAAATGTTGCTTGGGATGAGCTGAACTGATAAAAATAGGAACTGGGTAACTTTATACTGAAAGATTGAACAAATGAAAAAAGAGAGAGGAACTGACACAGGTCTCCAGAGCCTTCTCTTTCCCAGGGCTGTGAGGTGGGTGACTGTGGAGCATCCAGTATTATCTAAAAGCCGATGTTTTGTTTTAATTATATGCATTACACAAAACTCTGGGCAGGAAGGAGGTGCATCTTGGTTGCCACTGAAATCCTCCCAGGGATTTTGGTCCCAAGGGGCTTGGGGCTGTCTCCACTGGTGTGACTGTTCTATGTGTGATTGGGTGAGATTCCCCCAGTTTCAGCAACGCCTGAGGTAAACCGTGCCCTCTTTTGAAATGGTGTAGCGAGTCTTGACTGGTGCGAGAGGGTCTCTGTGGCTGTGCAGGGACCTCCAGCTGCTGGACAAGATGCTCGCAGCTGCTTTTTAAGCCCTTTTGGCCACAGCCCTCAGGGATGGTGAGGACAACAGGTAATCATAGCCGTGTGTTGCTTGTTCTGCAGTTCCCAGGCCAGCAAAGCTTGTCTTGATCAAGGTCTGCCATAATTCTAGTCTTCTGCTTTTTTGGGGCTCTGGAGCCCTTTAGAATTTGAACTAATGATTCTTTCAGAGGTTGTTTGGTTTATTGGTTCGCTCGCTGTGAAGAAATGACCCTCTGCTTTTTTCCCCGCAGCGCCTCAGAAGGCGGCACTAAATCAGAGCTGAAGGTCTGGAACAGATGCAGCGATTTTCCAATAGAGCAGTTGCAAGACCTTGACTGTCAGTTATTGATTTGCTTCCTACCTTCAGTTACCAGCAGCAGCTGGCTGAATTTGTGTGGGAAGGACTGTAGGAGAGTCTGTTTCTGCTTTCTAGAGTGAAATATTTGGTACCTGGAGTTAGAATAATTTTTTTTTTTTTTTTTTTTTTTTGTCTTTTTGGGGGGAGGTTGCTTTCTCTGTTTTGGAAGAGCAGAGCAGCAGAAGCAGTGAGCAGGAGAGATCACCACATTTGACTTGCTTTCCCTGTTCTAGAATGAGCGTAAGCAAGGATGCAATGTACAGTGTTAGTGGAGCTTGCCAGCTCTGTGAGAACTCACCTCCTTCTTGTGTGTTTTTCTACCTGCCAAGAACTGGAACGATCAGGACCACCGCGCCTTTGTGCAGAGCCACCTCTCGGATATGCTGGAGCTGCTGCTGGAGCCGGAGCAGCTCGCTGCCTCCTCCCATTCTACCCGCAGTAGCCTGGTGTCCTACGAAGCCATCTGTGCCCTCAGCTTTCTTATTGAAGGGACCGTGAACAACTCCAGGACGGTCCACCCTCTGCACGAGCTTGCCCTCTGGCAGCCCTGTCATGGGCAGAATGGCTACTCAAAGGCCTCCAGAGCCTTCTCTTTCACAAAGCTAGAGAGCTGGCTGCGGTCTTGCCTGACAACAAACCCTTTTGGAATGACTGCCTGCCTCAAGTCTGGGAAGAAACTCGCGTGGGCGCAGCAAGGTAGCTATAGGCCTTGTCTTTATTTTCAGAAATCACTTTCCAGTCTCAGCTCTTCCTGCTGACCAGGGATCTGGCAGTGGTGGGGGCGGCTTGTTTCCTTTTCCTTCTACTGTCAGTGGAGATGGGGAAGGTGACAGCTTAGAGGTGAGTCTGAGTGACTAGAGGGTGCTGCGTGTGACATCTGTGTGTGTTTTTCCAGTCCTTGTATCACTTTTGTGAGCAAACATTAATGACTTTACTGTCAAAGGCCCCTCTGAGTGAGGTCAGTATTACTAGCCTCATTAGTCAAGTACAGCTGGGCACAGAGAATAGATAATGTAATGGGTTTGTGGCAAAGCTGAAAACTGGTCTCAGTTTCCTTGTCTTGAATCACAGCTTCCCTCCTGCAGGGACTTGGCAGTGGAGCCAAGGACCATTCCACCTTAGGAGAAAAAAATTCAGATCAGTGTTTTGTTTCTCTGACTGCACAGTCGTAAGAGTGGCAGCGCATTAAGTGGGACAGTGAGGTTGCTCAAGGATTGTACTGTAGAGGGAGCATTTTACTGTCTTAAACCATACAGTTCCTGCTTTCAACATAAAATTTGCTCTAAGGACCTTCCTGCCAAGCTAAGTCTTGTGTTTGGAAACAGACTTCTGGAAATGGAGATGCCTAGGTCAGAGCTGTCTGTAGCTTGTGGAAGGCTTTGGCTGCCTTTGAATAATTTTGAAGTGTTTGTGATCTTGCAGTGTGCCCCAACTTTGGAGCTCCTGACTGCTACGTACTGCTGACCTGCCTAGTGGGCATGGGCGGAAGGTATGGCTGGTGCATGAAGTGATGCAGCCTGATGGTACCACCCTTGAAGTTTTGGGCTGGTTATTTTCTTGAGGGATTGCTGCGTGATGTGGACAGCAAACCATCATGTCTGTGTCTCTGTAGGAATCCCGTATAGCCTTTTTGTGCTTTTTGGGGGGGGGTTGTTTTGTTTTTTTGTTTTTTTCAATTTTAAGTGCATCGGTGAACTTTATTTTGCAGTTGAAGGAACAACCAGGAGAGCAAAGATTGCCTGCAATACTCGTGTGGTGCCTGAGGTGTTCCCCATGGTGATAATGAGCCAGGTGTACAAGCAGACGCTGGCCAAGAGCTCGGACACCCTGGTGGGGGCTCATGTAAGAATTCATCGCTGCAACGAGTCCTTCATTTATCTCCTCTCTCCTCTCCGGTGAGTTTTTGTTCTCCTGGGACACAGCTGTCTTTTTGGCAGGTTTGTTCAAATGCCCAATTCTTCTCAGATGGACTAAGCAGTGAAAAAGTCTTGCTTTTGCTCTTTCCTGCTCACGTGCCCTCGCTCTCTTGTTCTTTTGCAGATCTGTGACCATTGAGAAGTGCCGGAATAGCACTTTTGTCCTTGGCCCTGTACAGGCCTCTGTTCACGTCCACAGCTGTGACAACATCAAGGTTATTGTGGTTTGCCATTGCTTGTCCCTTTCTTCCACTGCTGGTTGTACTTTTTACACTCTCACACCTACCCAGCCTCTCATCCTCTCGGGGAACGAAGCAATCAGCTTTGCCCCTTTCCACACCCATTATCCGATGCTTGAAGACCACATGGCTCAGGTGGGCTTGGCCACTCTGCCAAACTACTGGGACAGTCCCATGCTGGTGTGCAAGGAGAGCAGTGACACGAGTGTCTTCCGCCTCCTGCCGCCCTCGGACTTCTACACCTTCGTCATTCCTTTTGAGATGGAAGGAGACACCACGGAGACGCCGGGTGGGCTTCCCCACGCGTATCAGAAGGCGCTGAGTCAGCGAGAGCGGAAGGTACAGATCTGGCAGAAAACTGTGAAGGAGGCAGGCCTGACCAAGTGAGTGCTGCATCCGAACAGGAGCATGTGAGCTGCGTCGCAGCTCGGCTCGGACACCAACACAAGATTCATTTGATGTGGTTCAACAGAAGTGCTTTAATAATGGGTTGATTTGCGTGAGCCACATCTTGCATGCCATTTCTAGAGCATGAGTAATTAGCCATCTTGGGATCCTGCTCTTTAGTAAT